ATTTATTTTTTTTTTGACAAAATTTTTGTTAAAATATTTGTGTTGTAATTATATAAATATCGTTTTTATTTAATATCAATTTTAATAATTAATAACTAAATTTTGCATCATAATTGCATTTGTGACGAATAAAATTGTTATAAATAACTTATTAACAATGTCAATTTTTTTTATCATTATAAAATTATTTTCTATGACAGGTACTTAATTTGCCATTAAGAACATTAGTGATAAGGGTTTTACTGACGATTTAAATTTTATCACTAATAATAATTTGTGACGAAAAATAAAGATTTAATGATCAATAATTTAGTCACTAAATATGGATTTTCTTGTAGTGTCAATTGAATGAAAGTTAGGGATGAACCAATGTAATTTGTGTAATATTAGTAATAAGTGGATTCGATTTTCTACGTAAACTAAAAAATTTCATAAAACACAATGCATCTTTATCTATTAAATTAACATAAAGATATAGTGGGTTAATAGGTAAAGATATGTTTGGTATAATTTGAGAAAATATATCAAAAAAATAAGAAATCCTACTATCATATAAGTATTAAAGACTTTAAAAGTATATTAATTTAAATTCTATATTAGTTGACTATAGTGAAATTAGATACTTTAAAACTTCAACTCTTGGTGTTATTTAAAGTCCATTTAGTTTTTCTTTAATTAGTTTAGTAAATTAGTTCATTCAAATCAATAAATTTTAATTATTCAAATAAAATTAGAATTAGTTAATTTTAGTATATAATTAGTTTATTGTCTTTTGTGGGATGAAACTTGATTTTTGCCATTATATTACTTGAATTGATTAGTACTTTTGTTAGAGTGAAATTAGTTCATCAATAGCGTTATACTCATTTGAAATTGTTCGTTGAAAACGGTGATTCAAACACTAAAGTCCAATTCAAACTCATTACTAAAGAATTTAATTAAGAAATTTAGATGAGTTGTACAAAATAATTTAAAAAAATATTCCATGGGTTGCTGACATGGAAAATAGTGAGATCCACTATTTGGAGTCCAACAAAAAAATAATAAATTAATAGATCGGATGAGGTTTAATAATGAAAAAATTCATTAGATGACCATTAGTACAATGTTAGCTAGGTGTTAGGTGAAGGAGGTAAGTAGTATAAAAACTTAAAGTAAAACTTAAAGTAAAGGGAGGATATAAATACGTTTTGGAAGAGTCTTTAAATGATTTCAAAGTATGGGGAGGAAATGAATGATAATCGAAAGTAGAGGAACTATTGTTGGCTTTAACTCTTATGGGAAAAGAGATAGAAGGAGTGAAGGACTCAAGAGATAGAAGGACTCAATTGACATAAAAAATTTTAGAACCTTATTGAGATCTCAATGTAAAGGTTAGCAACCAAATTGAAAATTTTCCCAAAATTTATGCAGCTGTTACCATAATGGCTACCGACATCAGAAGAATCCACAGCAACAATCATGTCTGTGACCAAAGTTTTCATGGTGCTGCTGTTACATTAGCATGGATACTTCACCGGAAAGGATAACGACGGTCACTATCAGAAAAGAATTGATACGACCCGCCTCTTTTGTTTTCTTGTCCCTCACAGCACGAACCTCTTCCTTTCTTTCAAATTCAAAAGCACTGATTTTTCGTCTAACTTCTCTTCCTTTTTTGGTGGTTGCTTTTCCTCCTCGTTTCCTCCCCACAACTCTCTTTTTGTCCTTTCCTTTTCTCCATTTTCTCTCCGTCTCTCTGTTCCTCTGCCCCCTTGTTCATTGTAGCAGCCATGGCTTTTAGAGGAGTAAGCTTTTCTCTTTCTCAAAAATGATTCCTTTAGATCTGGTTACATTTGGGTTTTGATCTGGTTAGAGGCTAGAGCACTAAAGTTGATCTCTTGATTATGATATCATTGATATTAATTAATACCCATTTTTTTTTTTTTTTTTTTTTTTTTTTAATGTTAACTTATGTTTTTATACCGTGTTTAGTTCTGGATTGCTGGTAGTTCTATGGGTTGAATCATGGTTGGATCTTCTTTTCTGACTGCTTTAAGTTTCTATTATTTGTGGTTGATTACGTGCAGTTATTTATGGAAATCTTGAGTACTTTTTCAAAAAAAAAAAAAAATCAATTTGCAAATTTTTGTTACATTTTTCCCTTAAGAGGTGGGCTAGATTTGTCTTGCATTTGGAAGGACTATTATTGAAATCTGAAATGAATTGCAAGTAATTGAACATCAATCTGCCTTTATGAACACACGTTGCATGATGTATGTTGAGACTCTAAGAGTCTAAGTTGAAGTTCCAGGTTTAAACCTTGAGATGTGTGGTGATGGATTTTGGGAAAGGGAGGCTATCTCCAGTTGTATAGCACATCATTAGACGCCCCCCAAAAAAATTTGCATAAAATTATTTGGACCTAGGAACGTAGATGGCAATACAAAGCAAGGGTTCTACTCAGTATACATTGTTATGGTGACTATTAGTATTTGCAACATGAAAGAAAGTATATTAACTTAAAGCAGTTTGATTTTAATTTAGCTATATTGTATTGGGAATTTGTGCATCTTGGAATAAATTTTAAATGACAAGGAGTCCGTTGAAGAAAGCATTGGCTGTATAGGGAATATAATCAAATTTTTATGGAGTATGGGTTAGTGAGTTAGCTTCAAGTAGGTATTGAGCACTTGATTGTGGTCTTCAGACAAATGCTTCATCTGGCATGGGAGTTGCTGAACATAGCAAAAGCACATATCAGGAGCTGCAGAGGAAGAAGGTCTACCGCTATGTGATCTTTAAGATTGATGAGAAGAAAAAGGAGGTTATAGTCGAAAAGACTGGAGGCCCAGCTGAGAGTTATGATGATTTCACTGCTTCGTTACCAGAAAATGATTGCCGATATGCTGTCTATGACTATGATTTTGTGACTTCTGAGAATTGCCAGAAGAGCAAAATCTTTTTCATTGCATGGTTAGTTTCTATTTCAATTCCTAGGTCGATAGCATTCTATTGAAAACCTGTATTGCAGTTCTTTTACAAATCATTTCACCTCCCTTTACATGCTTTATTGCCAGGTCACCTTCTGTTTCAAGGATTCGTGCCAAGATGCTCTATGCCACGTCCAAGGATAGGTTCAGAAGGGAGCTGGAAGGCATACACTATGAAATCCAGGCTACTGACCCAACTGAGATGGATCTTGAGGTGCTCAGAGAAAGAGCACATTGACCATTCACTTGTAGTTCATGAGTTTTACATGCTTTGCAAACTCCCTGGTGTTTCTTTTATGACATGAAGTATGTATGTAGCGGAAATGTTAAATAACAATACCTGGGAAGGCTGATCAGGGGCTCACTTTTAGACTTATGGGTTGGGGGAACTTGGGCTCCTTGTTGCCATGATGCTTCCCAGGTGAAAACTGGTGTAATACTCGATATTTGTCTCCTATTCATGGAATAGTTAATGGCATCCTATGATCTGTGTATCTGGTCATCTCAGTCTTATGCTTTTTAAAGTTTTCCCATTAATTGCCAATTAGGCTGTTGAAGTATGAATGATTTCATACAAAACCAATGCATCCATCTTGTGGATATTTATATTTTGGGTGTTTCCTAGTGCACTTTGCTTGATGTTTCGATAACTGAGAAGAACTTGTGCAAAAAGGTTTGTATTCTTCAGAATATAGGTTGTGATGTTGGTTCATTTTATTAGGATATCGTCCTTTCTGTTTGAAGACAATCTTGTGCCAGAACCACAATATTTATGCTTAACCTACTTTGAGGTGATTTTATTGGCTTGTTGAAGGGATATGTTTCAATG